ATTCAAGTTGGGGTAAACTCCAAATTGTTCGCTAATGTTGCCTGTAAGTTGGTTTCCATCAAGTCGAAGTCTAACTAAATTAGTGCAATTTCTCATACTCCTTGGAATTGGACCTGTCAAATGGTTGTTTGTTATTGAAAAGTTTTGGAGAAGTCCCCTGAGGCACAATTTCTCTGGTATATGCCCACTGAGTTTGTTATAACCTAATTGTAAACTTTCTAAAAGAGTGAGATTACTTATTTCTATAGGAATCGAACCTGACAAATTATTTTCCAAAAGACCCAACCAACTAAGATGTGTCAAGTTACCTATAGAAGTAGGAATTGGACCTGAAAGATTGTTACGTGATAAACTAAGTATACTAAGAGACCTAAGCATTCCTACTTCTTGAGGTATTGAACCAGAAAGCTTGTTTCCGGAAAGAGAAAGGATAGACAAATTTTTCAAATTTCCTATAGAAGTAGGAATTGGACCTGAAAGATTGTTACGTGATAAATCAAGATTACTAAGAGACCCAAGCATTCCTACTTCTTGAGGTATTGAGCCAGAAAGATTGTTTTTCCAAAGAAAAAGGCTAGACAAAATTTTCAAATTTCCTATAGAAGTAGGAATTGGACCTGAAAGATTGTTACGTGATAAACCAAGTTTAGTGAGAGACCTAAGCATTCCTACTTCTTGAGGTATTGAGCCAGAAAGCTTGTTTTGGTAAAGATAAAGGATAGACAAATTTTTCAAATTTCCTATAGAAGTAGGAATTGGTCCTGAAAGATTGTTACTTGATAAATCAAGTTTACTAAGAGACCCAACCATTCCTACTTCATGAGGTATTGAGCCAGAAAGCTTGTTTATGGAAAGATTAAAGATACACAAAATTTTTAAATTTCCTATAGAACTAGGTATTTGACCCGAGAGATTGTTATTTGATAAATCAATGTTTTTGAGAGACTCAAGGATTCCCATTTCTTTAGGAATGGCTCCATTTAATTGATTTCCATAAAGAGAAAGCAAATTGAGACTCGTTAACAATCCTATCTCTGATGGAATATTTCCTGAGAAATCATTGCAATCCAAGTAAAGAATTCTTAGTTGGGACAGCTTGCCTATACTTGGGGGAATTGTCCCATACAATGAATTATCAGAAAGTTGAAGCTCCATCAAAGTAGGGAAGGCAAGAAAGTTGAGACTGTGAAGTGTACCTTTTAAACCATAACTTGAAAGGTTTAGATTGGTGATGCTTCTAGCCTTGTCACAAGTGATTCCAACCCAACTACAAGGATTGTCCCCAACCCAAGAAGAGAGTGAGGTTTGGCTTTTGTAGTGGAGACTGGTTTTCCATTTTAGAAGAGAATCAGTTTGATTCACTCTTTGGGAATAAGTACAGGCATGGAGAGATTGAAGTAGTAGGAGGATGAGGAAGGATGGTGCCATTATATGATATCAGTGGTACAGAGGGTGTTGGAATGAATTCCTTTTACCTACAGCATTGATGAGTATTTATATAGGAAAAGAGAAACCTCAATACTCTGTTAGCCCTTTGATATTCCATCAACCCCGATTTTTTTGTTTTTGTTTTGTCTATTTGGAGTCGGAATGAATTTGAAAAAGGAAAAATATTATCCTCTCCTATGTGTATAAATAAAAAGTCAAGTAACACATCCTTAACTCAAAATAAAAAATTTGAGATTTGGAAATTATAATTGCTGATTTATCCGTAGCCGTTTAGAGTTTTTCAATATTTAGGGTTGACAAAGTTTTTGTTTAATGTTTCCTAAGAAGTGGTTGGTAGCAAGAGCAACTTTTGGATAATATTTCCCAAAAATGGTTGGAATAGTAACAAGAGCTATTTCAACTACTTTACGACAACTTAAAAGGGGAAAGTATTTTAGATATTTAGTGAAAGGCTTAATTTAAGAAATCATCTATTAACTATTACTCTTTTTTCATTTTAGTCTAGAATCATTGTTTTCTTTCAAACCCATCTACTAACTTTCAAAATTGTTTCATTTTCATCTACCC